CGTTCAGCATTGCGGTCATCGGAAGCCCGCCCCCCAGGGGGCGGGCTTGCGATGATCGAGAGTGCGATCTGCCTGTCCAAGATGGGCAGATCGTACGTTTTTGTAATCACTTTACAACCATCGCAAGACTAAGGTCTTGAGATGGTCTTAGAGTGTATGGCCACCTTAACACAGGTGTCAGTGTTGATGAGGACAAGGCTGGAGACCACTCTGTCATGCTGATTGAGTTAGAATAACAGACTGGAAGCTTAAAGCTGCCCACACACCTTACAATTATCTGCAGATTTTCTGTGGTCAGATGGAAAAGTGCAACAGATTGGCCCAGGTGCAGATTACTCCATCCACACAGTTAAGTGTAGATGGAGGAATCTGTTGCACCTTTTCCATCTGACCACAGAAAATCTGCAGATATATTGTAAGGTGTGTGGGCAGCTTTAAAAGGAGGGTGGTGCTTGAAATCATTGTTCTTCCTCTGTTAACCATGGTTACCTGCAAGGAAACACATGCAGTCATCATTGCTTTACACAAAAAGGGATTCACAGGCAAGGATATTGCTGCTAAGATTGCACCTAAATTAACCATTTATCGGATCATCAAGAACTTGAAGGAAAGAGGTTCAATTGTTGTGAAGAAGGCTTCAGGGTGCCCAAGAAAGTCCAGCAAGCTCCAGGACAGTCTCCTAAAGTTGATTCAGCTGCGAGATCGGGGCACCACCAGTGCAGAGCTTGCTCAGGAATAGCAGCAGGCAGGTGAGAGTGCATCTGCATGCACAGTGAGGCGAAGACATTTTGAGGATGGCTTGGTGTCAAGAAGAGCAGCAAAAAAGCCTCTTCTCTCCAGGAAAAACATCAGGGACAGACTGATATTCTTCAAAAGGTACAGGGATTGAACTGCTGAGGACTGGGGTACAGTCATTTTCTCTGATGAATCCCCTTTCCGATTGTTTGGGGTATCCGGAAAATACCTTGTTCGGAGAAGAAAAGGTGAGTGCTACTATCAGTCCTGTGTCATGCCAACAGTAAAGCATCCTGAGACCATTCATGTGAACAAAGCCATGAATAAAGAATGGTACAAAAACATCCTCCAAGAGCAACTTCTCCCAACCATTCAAGAACAGTTTGGTGACGAACAATGCCTTTTCCAGCATGATGGAGCACCTTGCCATAAGGCAAAAGTGATAACTCAGAGGCTTGGATCTTAATCCCATTGAGAACTTTATGGCCAATCCTCAAGAGGAAGGTGAACAAAAAACCCCCCACAAATTCTGACAAACTCCAAGCATTGATTATGCAAGAATGGGCTGCCATCAGTCAGGATGTGGCCCAGAAGTTGACAGCATGCCAGGGCGAATTGCAGAGGTCTTGAATAAGAAGGGTCAACACTGCAAATATTGACTCTTTGCATAAACTTAATGTAATTGTCAATAAAAGCCTTCGACACTTATGACATGCTTGTAATTATACTTTAGTAAACCATAGTAACATTTGACAAGAAGATCTTAAAACACTGAAGCAGCAGACTTTGTGAAAATGAATGTGCATCATTCTCAAAACTTTTGGCCAGGACTGTACATCATGAAGGGATATCAATATGCTACCGTGGTAAGATATTACCATGAGCAATTAATCAGTATAGGTATATTATATTCATCTATGTTCATGGAACTTATTTCAATGTGCCGAGTTTCAAACACTAAAATTAGACAAACAGTCCTTTGTCTGACCCAACTTGGTGTCTGTTGCTCAAGTATATATATGTTGTTCAAGACATACAAATAATGTCTGATGCACACTAATGATGGAGGCTGGGTTTATGTAGCTATGTAAAGACTATGGTCATTGGGATATTCGCCATTTATTTGTATGAACTCTGCTTCTAAAAACCTGAAACCTGCACAAGACCGGTCAGTTCCCTCTTCTGCTTCTCATCTCTCGGTGAACACTAGAGTGCTTTACTTTTTGTCGGTAGTAAGCACATGTATGTCTAGTCGGATCTGGTGAATTCCATCATCTCTTGTAGGATGTTTCTGCTTGCGTTCACACATTTGTCTAAGAAACTTTCAATAGTGTAATGTATCCCCTATTTCTGATTAAATATTGGAATGCCTTTGCTACATTTAATAATGTGCATCACTATCCCTCTTTACCATGTTTTTTTGTGCATACACAATTTTTTTTTTGTGGATTGGATTATAGTGGACAAGAAATAAATGTTGCCAGAGTCCCTTAAATTGCCTCTATGCATGTATATACCTTATACATTAGATCTATAGAAATTAGAACTTTACATATATTTGTAAAACCTTGGAAAACAGTTGCTGCTTTCATGTTACTTCATTATTGCTAAAATTTATATAACAACTTCTTGGTCTAGTAAGAGTCTGTAAACAGGAAATAGATGCGGTTAAAACAAGGCCAAATTTCCTTTATGGTTATTCATACATCCCGCAAGTTTGCTCACCCAGTTATGTATGAGGCCAAATTTCATGCGTGTCAGCTATGACTGGTCACACAAAAACACACAAGTGCAGTTACTGACAAGCTCAAACAGCCTCCTCCCCGCTCCCACAAACCAGCCTTGCCCCTCAATTATTTCCTCCATCTGGACCCTTCTCTAAATTTGGTTCCATTCATTCAGTAAACATATCTAAATTTAAGGCCATTTGGTGGCCAAATTCAGTGTCAGAGGGATATAACAATTTACGATACCCTCTGAAAGGTAAGATGAATACTACACTTCAAACAAAATTCTAACAGGCGTTTGCTTTTGAAAAGGTAAATACTAACAGCTATTACATAGAAATTATACACGTTTCTGTGCTCTCTTTCGCCTTGCTGCAACTACTACACAGATGTGTTATTTTAAAGCCCGAATTCAGCTAAAATGTATTTTCTTTTGGATAGAGTGGGGAAGGGTGAGAGCCTCAATTGCCCCCATTAGGGAACATTTTCCCTCGCTTCCCGTCAGGACACACTCTCCAATGGGAACACAAAAAAAAATGAAAAAAATATTTTAAAGAAAACAATACGGACAATGTATTTATGCAGTCTGTGCTTTCCAGTATGATTGACAACCCCATTTCTTGCCCTGTGTCAATGGGTTTACAGACCAATATAAAACAAACAGAAATTATAATTCTTTCCCACTCTATTCAAAAGGAAAAAAAAGTGTTTGAGTTGGTACTTCGTTGTATGCAACGAATCGATTGTAAATATACATTTAGGTTGCATACATTATATGAAACGTGCACACACTTGTATGCATGCTTCAGAACAGAAAAAGGCATTATAAAATATTTTAATACATATAATTAAAAATGCACAATTTACAGTGCAGTAGATTTTCTAAATATCTTAAAATTCTCTATATGTCTTAAATATCAACAGTTATGACTGCTGCAATAAACTACATAATACTTTATAAATCTAGATTCTAAATAATTTTTTTCAGCATCTACTGGGTACCATTCCGTTTTTTAAAGTGTTCCTCACTAAACAGCTAGTGACCACTAATATGATGTATAATTCCTTCCCATTTTCTTGGCAATTAGACTCCTATGCTCTCTATGCCTTCTACTTACCCAGGGTAGGTTGGTATAGCAGTAGGCGGCACTGCCCGCACTGCACCATATACCGTCCTCCCACGACCCCTCAAATGTGCCCCTCGAAAGGCAGCTGCTGTAGTAGCAGCTGCTGCAGCTGTGGGGTAGGGGAATCCAGGAACTGCAAAAAGGAAAGACAGGAAAGACAGAAAGGGAAGGAAGGTGATAAAGAAAAAAAGAGACAAAAATTAAGAAGGTGAGATATTTTATCATTATATTGCAATTGGCAAAATATCCTGTCACTCTGCTGAAACAAACGAATAGTAAAAAAGTATTCCTTTTGATAAACTTTATTTGCACAGTAATAAGACACCCAACCCCTATTATACTAGCCAACATTTCTTAGAGTTTACACAGACTGCTTGGTATCTAATACCATGGACTTCACCTTTAAGCAAGATTGCACTTTTTAAAAACGTTTAACATTAAAGTCCTGCCTAAGGCTGGCCATACACCCATCAATTTTTTCCATTCAACCTGCGGGCTGAACGAAAACAATTGACCCGATACCTCCATCAACACAAACAGTGTGTCAATCGAGGAATCCCGGTGTTTGCAATGTATTCTGACTGGTGTAGGCGGGACCTGTCAGAACACCCGATCAGAGCCCTGATCGATCGAAAATTTTCCAGCCAGCGCCTTCGATCAGCTGATGGTGGCCGAAAGGGAGTCGGCAGCCCCACACACTGTGCAAATTTCGTCCGGTACATTAAAAACCAGCCGAAATTCGACCAGTGTATCGGCACCTTAAGAGTAAACACCACACAATGCCATTGCCTTTATTAGAGAGGGCATAGGAGGGGCTTTTGCATTTCTGACTAATACTTGGTTACTGGGGCCCTGACTTCATGGCTAAGCTCCTCCAACTTCCAGTCTCCTGTTCAATGAAACCACCATTGCCAGTCATTAAGGAAGTCTTCCAGGAGGGAAGAATGGCAGTTGAATGGCTTCGATATGAGGTAAGTGCCTATTAAAGTGTAACAGAGGGAGGGAAATAAAAGGGAGGAAGCAAGAGAGGAAGTAAAGTAAAAGAACGAAGGTGGTAGGAGGAAGGGAGAGAGGAAGTAAAGGAAAAGAAAGGAGAAGGAGGAAGGGCATACATAAATGAAAAGAATGGTGGAGTAAGGGATGAAGTAAAATGAACATAAAGGAGTCGTAAGGGAGGGGGAGTAAAAGGAAAAGACTGGAGGAAGGAAAGGAAAAGAAAGGTGAGAGAGGGAGAGAGAAAAAAGGGATAGATGGACGATTAAAGTGCAGAGAACATGCTTTACTGGCTAATTAATGAATAGTGGCCATCTTCTAGAACTGGCTCTTAAAATGAAGTATGGGTTGAGGTAATTGGGCAAACAAATTCAAGCAGATAGATGAGAGCATGATCTATTTGTCCTAGGGTTTAATTAAAAAAACAACACCACTAAAGTGTGGTTCATGTTTCCACTTTCCACTTCTTAATTCATTCAATTTCCTCAAAAATCCAGTCGAACAGGTAAAATACAAGTGTTTGAATAATTTGACTGCCAAAATATTTATATTTATGACTCTGTTCAGCCTTATTTTGTGATTTCTACAATCTTGCCACACTGCATATGATGAGGTTATCCCTGCACTTTTGCTTTCCTGTAAGCAAGTTCCAACAGCAGCATGAAAAGCTGACAGATTGACAGTTCTGGCTTTCCCTCACTTTAGAAGTGTTGTTGTGCAATAGATTACATAAAGCTAACAAAGTAAAAATTACATACTTTACTCATGACATTTCTTTTTTTATATCTACCTAGAGTTCAGCTTTAGGTTTGGTGTACAGTGTCTCCTTCCTTTTGTACACTGCATAGATAACTGACATTGTTTTACATGCCATTATACCAGTTTGAGTAAAGATTTACAGTTTTTCCAAATTATAACCTGCATCAGAAGATACATTTTCCTCTGAACGATCAAATACTTGATCAAGAAAGGAAAGCACAATCATCCTATATATTGCATTTATAACTGTAACCCCTGTTACAGAGGCCTTGAAATAATTTTAAGTACATCACTATGAATAGAGAGTCACCATCATGACAATATGCAACAACTTTGATTTGGTTGAAGAGGAACTCCAGAAGAGAGGTTTTGGGCATCTGGTATAAAAAAACATCTGGATCACTGCTCTGTAGTGTAAAATCTAGACCTTTTCATTTCGGATATTACACCTATTGCAACTCTCATACAGGGAAGCATTAGAGTCATTTATCTGCCCCCCTCTCCCCTTGTCCATTCACAGAATGCTGCGTATTCTGTAAATGGACAAGGGGAGAGGGAGGCATATGAATAACACAATCGGTTCCCTGTATGGGTGCCGCAGCACTTCGAACGTTCATTATAGCTGTAATATCCAACATGAACGAAAGTATACATTTTACACTACAGAGCAGTGACCTCGACGTGGGATAATCAATAGCAAATCTTCTCTGCCCAGAGTTTAACTTTAAGCTAATAATTGGGTCACTGGTACCAAGGACAATTACTTTTACCTCTACAACAAAAAAGCAACTCTATAGTAAACCTTCTTTGTCTAAATGTGTTTAGAATGTTTAGACACATACATGATCTGTAGATTTACTACAGTCTTCCACTTAAAGATAACCATTATTTCATCATTTCGCAGAGGTGGATCTCAAGTATGAAAGATGTAGCAGTACGCTGATGAAATTGCAATCTGCAATATTTAGTTAAAGTGAAACTCTGGGCTAGCAAACCCAGAGTATGTACCCCAAGTAAGAAAGATGTGTTTTAATAATTTCTTATTTTTTTCATGCTTTAGTGATGACTTGTGGCCCCATTCTAAGTTTACATAATAGCATCTGCTCTAGGTCATGTCCTGTGACATCAGGAGTGGCTGCTCACATGCCATTGCCCAAAACTCCTTGCACCACACTTGAAGCAAGGGGTGTGTTTTAGAAAAATAGCTTCTTTAAAAGCCTGGAACAGAGAGGAATGTCCGAACAAAGCATAGGTTTGGGGGTCACTTTGTAGGTTGTTGCATACAACGGGTGACAACTGGTATTCTGAATTTAGCAAGCAGGTTTACCCATTGCCACCTGCTTGAAGAAAAAAAAAAAGAAGCAGCTTGGCCCCAATGGTTTTTGTAGAGATTGAAGAGGTGAATTACAACATAGAAATACAGCAGTGCCTTTACAATGCAGGATTGTGTGGCAATAAAATGTTTAACCAGTTATTTAACAAATTAAATCAAAGTAATTTACACTTTTGGTGAAGAAAGCCTTTACTATAGGACAAAAGCATCAGAAAAATCAGAGCATTGGGTATGGAATCCTTTTTGGAACCCACAAATTGGGCAACAGCAAAGACATGTTAATCTTTCACAGGTACTACAAAAATGTTATTTGCATAACCAGAACGATCTAAAAAATGTTTAACCTGCATTATTGAACAAACGGGTTAATTACAAGTTATGTTTAAAAGTTCATGCCACATGAAACAGCAAATTAGATTTAAAAGCAGACCAAAAGAACAATACATTAAAAAAAATAAGACAAAAACAGCTGGTTTACTTGCAAGAACTCTGAAATTCATCTTAAGAAAAATGTAAAAACTATTTTCCTAAACAAAATCCCATCACATACGACACTTTTTCCAAGCTCTGCTAACTGTATTGCATCATGTGTCACCAATGTCCGAAAGGAGCCCATTCCAGGCTTATGACAGTGAGGAGGGATTTACAGGAGGACATGGGACATTTGTCAAAACCCTTTAAACCTAAACTTTCTAGGCGATTAAACAAGCCTGCTGCCTTACAGAATATTTTTAAGCAATGCTTACCTGTAAAAAAACAGGGGTGGTCAATGTTAACACTACAGTTGTGTTGAAACCACCTCCCATGAGGTACTGCATGAATGACAGTCACAGGCATGACTCCCAGAGCCATGCTGGTATTCGAGGTTTCACCACAGCTGGGGTGCCGAGGTTGCCTACCCCTGCTGTAAAAGACCATACAGGCTTACCTTTCCAGCTGCATGCGCTGTTAAACTCCACTCAAACGCTGAAAAATCTTCTGCTGAGGTCCACACTGTAACCGACACTTCCAGGAGTGTCCTCTCCCCCTTGGCTTTCATTGGCCCATCCCCTCTGATCACTACAAATTACAGTATACAGTAGTGACATGGAGGCCAGAGTGAGGAACCAATGAACGCCCTGGGATGGGAGCCTGGAGATCAACATTCTAAGTAGTATCAGTTTTAGTGCAGACTTTAGCAGAAGATTTCACAGCATCTCACACAGGAGATGGTGTACTGGCTCCCCCCCCCCCCCCCTCTCTCCGGAGGTGCTTT